ATGCCAAACTTTTATTGGAGGTGCAGCAGATTTCCCTTCCCAGGATACATCTTTACTTTGGTTTGCAGTTCCTGTAGCCCCCCCCTTTTTTTTCTCATTAAAAGTAGGTTTTGTCAGTGAGCATTCAGATCAATCAAGATGGCACTGACTTTTTTTTCTTTTTCTTTTTTTAAGAGAGAGAAAGAGAGAGAGACATCGATGGGTTGCCTCTGGTGGGGATGGGACCCACAACCTTGGTATGTGTCTTGACCAGGAATCAAACCTACCACCTCTGGCATTGAGGATGATGCTCCAACCAACTGAGCCACACCGGCCAGGGCAATACTTACTTTTTAATAATGCCTTACAGAGTACCAGTTAACAGTTCGTATGATTTTTCATTATGTGAATGTAAAACAAATTTTTCTTGAAGTCTTCTCAATGATCTTTCTTTTAAACATTCTTCCTTACACTAAGGGGTTGAGAAATAACAAATATGTATCTCACCTGGCTGTTTCCTTTGATGCCTTGTGGGTCTTTGTCAAACCAGGTTTCCTACAACCCAGTTTCTGTGGAATCCCTTGCACTTAAAGTGACCAGACCATTACCCTTGTTAGGCCTGCAAGGTCAGTAGGTGAGCCTGGCTCCCCTGTAACTTGTTCTTGGATGTAGAGGAAAACAGGGTGTGAGACTTTCCTGGAAGGACTGTTGTGTAGAGAGCCCCTATATTCCAGCTGCTCAAGTTTTCAAGGCTTGACACAATTGACTGAAATCTCCCTTTTCATGTCAGACTGCTCATCCCATGCATGGTGGTGCAATGTTCTTGAGGCTTCATTGTGTAGCCCCATTACCTTCCATGAAGGAAATTATTTTAAAAGCTTCGCGGACGTCAGTAATTGTCTGCAGAAGCCATGTGGCCATCACATTCCTACATGAGCTTGGGTACAAAGACAATGAGTTTATCCTTTGAAGTTATGGAATTTCCTGTATTTTCCTTATTTTCGTGTGTGTGTGAGTGTGTTTCCTGAAAACGTTGGAAAAGACCAAAGAGAAGGGAGTGGAACTTAGCTGTCTCCTTACTGCATGGTAATGCTCCCAAGTTTATCCTGTCTTCCCAGGGAATACCTACTTAGAGCTTTGATGAAGGACAGTTGGAGATGCTATATAATGCAGCTATGGGAAAGGTATGGCTAAGTTTTATCATGGTTCTGATGATTCCTTGACACTTGTTAATAACTGTTAATAACAGTAATCAAAATATTATAGCTCTGCCCTGGCCGGTGTGGTTCGGTTGGTGGGAGCAGAGTCCCATACCCCAAGGGGTCTTAGGTTCGATTCTGGTTGGGGCACATACTTAGGTTTCAGGTTTGATCCCCAGCCCCAGTTGGGGCCTTCCTGGGGGAGGCAACCAATCAGTGTTTCTCTCTCTATCTCTCTCTCCCTTTCCTTCTCTTTAAAACGAACATGTCCCCAGGTGAGGACTGAAGAAAGAAAAATAATTATAACTCCTATTTACTGAGAACCTATATAATGTGCCAAGCAATATTCTGAATGTTGGTGGGGTTTTTTTTGTCATTCCCTAAACTCCATAAAACAAGGTGCTTTTTTTTTTTTTTTTTGCCAAAAAGTGGCTGTTCTGTTTGATATGGTTCAAATTAATGTTATATATTTTACATATAAGGAAGCGGAGATCCAGATTTTACTTAAGTACACAGTTGTCTGACTCCAAAGTTTATGCTTCTTTGATATATTAAAGTATATTCCTCACTAAGATTTGGCCAGTTAAGCAATAACAAAGCCAAAGCTAGAAATTAGTTCTGCTTCTATAATTGTTCTATCAATTACCAACACAGTTGCCAACATATGCAGTATTTTGTTTCTGTAAATCTCAAGTAGTTAAAAACAGTGCTATCAACACATTTTCATATTTGACTGGACCCTATGAAATAGATTAGATACCACGTTCTGTAAATTTAATAACCTTGTTTCTGGGTTCGAAGTAAGCTGCATTTAGTAGCCGCGGTAACATGTGATATTCCCTGTGCACCGCTCAAGGGAATAAGATGTAGTCAGTGTGTGTACCTCCCAGTGCAGTGCCCTCACTGAGATCTTTGTAAGGCACCATCAAGAAATAGGCGGTAGGTAAGAGTGAGACTGGGACAGATGATTTAAATCTGAGCACTTAAACCGAATTTTCATCTCCACAGGAGGAAGCAGGCACTGGCTTTTATTTTTATTGTTAAAGTAATATATACTTGAAAAGAATTCAAACTATTAAAACTGTATCCTGGGAAAGATTAAGATCTGGCTTTTCCAGTCCTCCCCACTGGTAGTCACTTTAACCATTGGTATTTATCTTTCTTGACTTTAATTTTCTATTGCAAAAAAAACTCTGGATCATAGAAATGTAGTGGTGGGAAGAAATTAAGGAATCCTCAGGTTCTAGCTTTTCCATTTTGCAGTAAATGAGAGGTGCTATGAGATTAAATAGGGTCATAATTGTAGTAGCAGAATTGGAGCTCAACTCCAGGCAATGCTTGGGCTTCAGTTGAGCACTATGATGTTGGACACAATCGATAGCACTGTTCTGTTCCAGATTAAAAAAAAACTGACTGTGAAAAGCAAAAGTTGGACAATTGAAGTTCAGATCCACTTTGGAATTAATTAGCAAGATTGAGGTTTATTGTCATCTTCTCCAGTAGAAAATCTTCTTTCTATTGTTTATCCCCTATAATCTTAAATTGGCTTCTTTCCAAACTAAGGTGGTATTTTAATACCTCATTTTTGAGCCACTAGCTCCTACAGTTCCTTTTTAAAAAATCTTTATTGATGAAAGTATTACAGACGTGCCCCTTTTCCCCCCATTAACCGCTTTTAGCCTGCACCCACCTGCACACCAGCCCTTCACCACACTATTGTCTATGTCCATGGGTTATGCATATATGCATACAAGTTCTTTAGTTAATCTCTTCCCACCCACCCAACCCTGCCTTCCCTCTGAGATTTGACAGTCTGTTCTAGGCTTCTATGTCTCTTGATCTATTTTGTTCATCAGTTTATTTCGTTCATTAGATTCCACATATGAGTGAGATCATGTCATACTTTTCTTTCTCTGATTGGTTTATTTCGTCTAGCATAATACGCTCCAGGTCCCTCCATGCTGTCTCAAGGGGTAAGAGATCCTTCAGTTCCTTTTTATACACTGACTAGAGGCCCAGCGCACGAAATCGTGCACGGGTAGGGTCCCTAGGCCTATTCTGCGATCAGGGTCATCTTCTACCTACTTGCCAGTCCCCAGTCCCACCCCGCCGCCACCGTTCACCCCGGTTCCCTGTGGTTCCCCATTTGCTATCTGGCGAATGGAGCCTGCAGGCTGGGGGAAGGGACCAAGAGGTGGTCAGTGCTCCTCATAGCGACTGGTCAATCAAGTCATTCTGGTCGTTACCCCGTTATGGTCGCTGGCCTTTTATTATATAGGATTATAAGTGAAACTACTTTTGAAGCCCCCAATAAGTAGGTGTCAGTCATCATTAGTACTTCTCCCTATGAGAGCCCCTAGATATAGCTAGGGTTTCCACATGACAAGATAATGCAACTGACTTCTCTGTTCCTCTCAGAAATTTATCAGCAGTCTCCCATTCTACCCTTTTTAGCCCAAGCACCTTCTTTGGTAGTACTGGAATTTGTGGAAATAAAAAGTAACTCATTTCAACAACTTTGGGAACTTCTATAAAAATAACAAGTAACATTATATCACTGTGCAGTACTTAACATATCCTGCCTGGGTCTCTGAGCTCTTGGTCTTAAGGGAGTAATTATGTGGAAATCCTACACACACACACACACACACACACACACACACACACACACACACATATTAGAATAAATACATGTATAGAGAGAAAAAATTAGGTGGGGCCAGTGTGGGACAGTGATTGAGCGTCAACCTATGAACCAGGAGGTCATGGTTTGATTCATAGTCCTGGTCTGGCATATGCCAGGTGTGGCCTCGGTCCCCAGTGGGGGCATGAGGAGGTGGCTGATCATTGATTCTCTCTCATTATTGATGTTTATTTAAAATGTGGCTAGTGTGAATGAAGATGTGGTGTAAGTGTTATACTGTACTTTATTTAAAATAAAAAATAAATAAAATTAGTACAGTAGGCCCTAGCTGGTGTAGCTAAGTGGGTAAAGTTTGGCCCATGCAATAAAGTGTCACAGGTTTTATTCCTGGCCAAGGGCTCATACCTGGGTTGCAGGTTCGATCCCTGCCCCAGTTGGGGCGTGTGCAGGAGGCAACCAAACTGATGTGTCCTCTCACACCAATGTTTCTCTCTCTTCCCCTCTCTCCTAACCTCCCCCCCTCCTAAAATCAATGGAAAAAATATCCTTGGGTGAGGAATAACAACAACTAGAAATAGTACAGTAGAATTTAGTCGCATTGTCACCGATTACACCTGGAAGGACATAGAAACAAATGTAATCATTCCATTTTTTAAAAAAGTACAAAATAGTAAACTCCCTAAGTGTTTAGCATAGGAGAAGATCCTCCCAACTGTGAAATAATTTGATTCAGTAATTAGAGGCTGGGAATCTCAACACGGGATTACAGTTTGGTTATCTTTGAGCAGATGCAAGTAGTCCCCATGACCCTTAGGCCTTTTGACAGAGCCATAGCATCTCTAATTTAAAAATAGGAAAACTGATAAAATAAAAATCTAAACTGACTACATGGCTCAATTCATGGCTTACTCCTAGCTCATATGAGGCTCTTCAGTTTCTTTCTTTCTTTTTTTTTAAAAATATATTTATTGATTTTTTTACAGAGAGGAAGGGAGAGAGAGTTAGAAACACCGATGAGAGAGAAACATGGATCAGCTGCCTCCTGCACACCCCCCACTGGGGCTATGCCTGCAACCCAGGTACATGCCCTTGACCGGAATCAAACCTGGGACCTTTCAGTCCGCAGGCCAACGCTCTATCCACTGAGCCAAACCGGCTACAGCTCTTTCTTCAGTTTCAGTTGGCAGTTCATTTGATTGTTCTTTTGGATAAAAATACTGAAGTGAAGGCTCTTTGAGTTTCCTGGTGTGAGCCTTCATCCTGGATATCTGAACCCTGTCATTAGAAGGTTCCTCGTATATCAGGCCATTATTATGTGTAAAGCTGATGGAAGCCGCCTTTGATCTGCTTGTTTGCTCAAGTTTCTTCAGTGAGAGGTAATTTTCTTAGAAGCAGTGAGTTCAGATTCTTTCAAAGGTCTTGGACTCTCTCACTCAAAGATTCCTCTTAACAGAGTCTCCTGATTAATGGTATTGACTAAAACTCTTTTCAGTGCAGTTAAGTTACATAAATACAGAATTTTATTTTATTTTTTTAATTTTCCATCATCTTTTATTCCCTCTATGCCTTCTTCCACCTCCACCCAATCTCCTCCTTCCCCTCCCCAAACACCACACTATTGTCAATGTCTATGAGTTCTCTCTCTTCTTTTTCTTTTTTTTGCTCAATCCCTCTGCCCACCCCCACTAGAGCTATCTGCCTGCCCTAAATAGTTATATATATTTAATCGAATCTTTATTTCCTTTATTTCCAGTTAGGTGTCTTACAAGTCTTTGAAATTTTTTGTTTTGCCATCTGAAAAACACGAATTACCTGTGACATTTGGACTCTGATGTGGTTGGGCTCTCTCTCCTTATACCTATAGAAATTGGGTATTATCATTTCTCTCTAGTTTAGTCTATGGCAGTGGTTCTCAACCTTCCTAATGCCGCGACCCTTTAATACAGTTCCTCATTTTGTGGTGACCCCCAACCATAAAATTATTTTCGTTGCTACTTCATAACTGTAATTTTGCTACTGTTATGAATCGTAATGTAAATATCTGATATGCAGGATGTATTTTCATTGTTACAAATTGAACATAATTAAAGCATAGTGATTACTCACAAAAAAAATATGTAAATTAATTATATATGTGTTTTCCGATGATCTTAGGTGACCCCTGTGAAAGGGTCGTTCGCCCCCCAAAGGGGTCACGACCCACAGGTTGAGAACCACTGATCTATGGGAAGGAGAGTTTCATATCCTCCCTTTTCTCTTCATAAGGAAATGCAGCCTGAGAGTGATTCCATATTCCAGGCAGGGCAAAGAATTCTGAGCCATAAGCGGAACTTAGACCCAGGTGAGGCTACTAGTTTTTCAAGCACCAGAATTTTCATTAATTCAAGTAGTCTTAGCATAGATATAAATGTCCTATAGCCTCATTGTCTTTTATTTTCAAATTACTGATACTATAAGTAAGGTAAGTCACTCTTATTTAAACATATTCTATTAGGTCCTACTGGATTTAGGGCACTATGCTAGGTAATATAGGAATATGTACAGAAAAGACAATATTTTCTTCCCTGTCCCTACATGATAAATTCTGTGATGTACATTTAGTGCTATGAGGGAGAAGAGGATCTGATCTATTTGGAGAACTTATGTGGTATTCAAGAATAAGAAAAGAGCAGTTGGGCAGGAGGAGTGTTTTTTTAAAGAAGCTACATTTGAAGAGAAAATGGTATTTTTTAAAATTTTGTTTTAAAAAATGCACATGGATGATACATTATAGTAATTGTTTTCCTTAAAGGAAATAGAATTGTGTACTCTCCAAAATAATGTCTGGCAAATTTTAAAGAACTCATTAATGGGGCAGTCCACACTGGAGTTGTACTTAATGCAACCTACTTTAACTGGGCACTACCAAAAAAATTAAATATGTTAGAAGTCAATTATATTTATACTAGAGGCCCGATGCACGAAATTCATGCAAGAGTAGGCCTTAGCAGCCCCAGCTCTGACACCCCCTCTCCCCCCCACAGGTCGTTCCGGAAGGTCGTTCCACGGTCTGGTCTAATTAGCATATTAGCTCTTTCTTATATAGGATTTTTATTAGTATTTTTTTTCACTGTGTCAGTTGTAACTTTCATCTTGTTTCTTTATCTTTTAGACCTGGAATGGCCAAATATCAGGGAGAAGTTCAGAGTTTGAAACTGGACGATGACTCAGTCATAGAAGGAGTAAGTGACCAAGTACTTGTGGCAGTTGTGGTCAGTTTCGCTTTGATTGCTACCCTGGTATATGCACTTTTCAGGTGAGACTAAAGGACAAAAGAATTGAAATACTATATATTTCCTGGGGCCACTGAATCTCTGACTGCTTCTAGTAATGCTTAATACTTAATATGAAAAGCAAGTAATAGATCCAGCAATAGATCCAGTAAATAGTATATATTTACTAAAGTAGTTTTTTTCTACAAGGCCCTAAATGCTACCATACATTCCCTGATATTAGCTGTCTTATCAGATAAATCTACATTTATTATCATATTTTGAATAAAATATTTATATTTTCTATAGGAGTATCACTGTTTGAAAATGTAATTTTCATAATTGAATCTATCAACTTGTAGGTGATATAATGAATATAAAATATTTTCAGTGTTTAAATATAAAACTAAGGCAAAAAAGAAAAACTCGTTTTATAGTATATAGGGACTTTAGGTTAGAATTAAAATTATTGTTATAGAATCAGAAATAATACTTAAAGGTGTCAGATGTCCATATACCAGCGATTTTCAACCAGTGTGCCGCAAGAATTTTTAAAACATGGAATACCTGACTATTTACTCAGGGACACTGACCTCTTTTCCCTTAGATTGTGAAATAAAAAAATGATAGCAGTCAACACAACAATAGCCATTCAGTTTGAAAGAATCAAAATTATTCCTTATTTTTTGTCAGATTGGCAAAAAATACAATATTTTTTGGCGTGCTACAGAATTTTAGTAATTAATTTATGTGTGCCATGAGATGAAAAATTTTGAAAACTGCTGCTATATACCACTACATATAGACTAGTAAGAAACTAGAAATTTAAGTGTTAACACATGAGATATATATATATATATATA